TTGGTCCATGTTGTTACATGGAGCTGATAGACACCCAGGCTTGAAACTCAGTTGGCTGATCAGAATATTGTATACTCCTGCCCACATTGATGGGCACATGAACAAAGCATACCAACCAAATCTCTCCTTGGGATTTTGATTGGAAGTAGAATGTGGGTTTGGAGGAATGTGGCATTTTTGTGACCACATGGGGATAGCTTGGCTAATAATGAAGTCAACACTAAGAATAAAAAGATCCAATAGATAAAAAAAAATAGATGATAGACAGATGGTAGATATTTGACTGAATCAACCCTTGGCTCTAGCCATTCTGAAACTGATCCCCTTGAATCTTTCAATTATATGAATTAAGTTCCTTTTGTAGTATAGCCCAGAAAGAATTAGATTTTGTCACTTGGAATTTGAAGATTCTTAACTGTCACACTTTATGAGGGCACACACAGAGCTGCCTCATAGCCATGGTTACTGCACATTATTCTTTGCTGTGCTTCAGGCTGTTAGGGACTTCATAAAGAACATTGCCAAATCGAGGGTACAGATTTCGCTTTAAGCCAATCAGCATCTGTATAGCATGAGGCAACTGAACTAGGGCTCATAGTCTAATAGTGACAATTCAGCCACCATGCCACTGCATGAGTCCTGGCCTAGGCGTAGATAAAGCAGGAAATGGAGAAAGGGAAGGCAAATGCTAATTCTAATGTATGGTGGGTGGGTAGTCAGAGGAAAGGTATAGGAGAAAGTGACTTTGTGTTGAGTTTTCACTTGGAGGAGGAGTACACAGTGGACTAAGAACTCAGCAAATTAATGTAAGAATGAAATAAACAGCATGGTATTTGGAGCTTAGGGCAGCAAAGAGCCAAGTATCTTCTGAAACCAGAGTCCTGTGTTTACCTCCCTCTCGTTTTCCACTTCTTGTAAATGGGGGAAACTGGATCTGAGAAGATAAGGCAAAGGCGGCATGAACTGAGGCCCTAATCCTTTCCTCTTGGAAGCCTGAGGATTTTCCTTGAGCATCTCTTGAAGTTTGCAATGTCATCTTTGTATTTTGCTGAAGACCACCATGAACAACTGGGATGACCACCACAGTCACTGAACACAGAATCAGCTTTTCATCCTCACTCCTAAGGAAAGCCTCCCATCCTCTGAGAATGCCCATGGCCAGCTCCTTCTACAGCCTGGTTATGACATAGAAGCACAGGCTCCATAAGAGAGAGTATGAGGATTTTGGTGGAATCCTAATCTTAGATGAACAAAGAGAATTCCTAATACCAGTAACCTTTCTTATCTGAAAGTGACTGAAAAATGCACAGCCTTCACTGAGCCTTCTAGACTGCCAGTACTTCCAAAACATACAAAAGCTGTCTTCCTTTTAGCCCAACAGTATGCACTCCTCCAACAGCACAAGTCATTGACAGTCTGAGCATTTGCAAGAGCATGTTAATCCACGCACTTCTAATTACTTACACAGAGCCTAGTTCCCTCATCATTAAAATAGGCATATTCATAGTGCCCACCTAATAGTTTCTAAGGAGACTAAAAGTTAAAATATACACAGAGCGTTAATGATGTGTGGCACTATTTCAATTATTGTCTTTAAGTTTTACTCCATTTTTCTACACTATGTGGAGAACATATATGCTAGACAACTCAATGAAGTATTTTAGTTGGAAGCTCCTTTATGGGTTCTGAAAGCATCAGATGGCACAGTCCTCTCACATTGCTCCCTGAATGAGCAGAGGTCACATGTTGCCTGCTCCATGAAAAGCAACACTGTTAAAAGAGCTGCAATGATGGCCGGCACCACGGCTCACTAGGCTAATACTCTGCCTGCGGCGCTGGCACACCGGGTTCTAGTACCTGTTGGGGCGCCGGATTCTGTCCCGGTTGCTCCTCTTCCAGTCCAGCTCTCTGCTATGGCCGGGTAAGGCAGTAGAAGATGGCCCAAGTGCTTGGGCCCTGCACCTGCATGGGAGACCAGGAGGAAGCACCTGGCTGCTGGCTTCGGATGGGTGCAGTGCACTGGCTGTAGTGGCCATTTGGGGGAGGTGAACCAACGGAAAAAAAGGAAGACCTTTTTCTCTGTCTCTAACTCTGCCTGTCAAAAAAAAAAAAAAAAGAGCAGCAATGGGGTGGGTTTGTTTGACTATGGAAGGAGTCTGTCCTAATAGTAGATGAGTGGTTTCTGAAGTAGGATTTATGAGGCAGGGCTAGGAAAGGAAAGAACAGCTAAGGAAACACACAATGATGCAATCTCAATAGAAAAGACTATGTATAGGGAAGGAGCAAAACTACCATCTTAGTCTGTTTTGTTCTGCCATTACAGAATAACCAACACTGGTAATTTATTTTTTTTATCTTATTTTACTTATTTTACTAGTAATTTATCTTTATTAGTTTAGTAAGGTACCAATCTATAATAAATAAAAAATTAAAGAAACAAAAATGTGCTTCAGCAAGTTTGAGTCACTGTACTAGTATGCACATTTGGAATCACACTCATGTTAATAGAATTGTACCGATTAGTTATAAGACAAGGCAAACTGTGCAGGCCACTATAATTTATGAAACACTAGAGATTTCCAAATAAATAAGATTTGGTAATATCAATTCTTTTAATTTTTCTGGGGAGAAAGATGCAGTACCTTGAGCTGAAGAGGACAAAAACAAAAGTAGAATTGTTATATAATGGCTCACGTAACACTGGTTATTTATTTATTTATAAAAAGATTTTTTTTTTTATTTGAAAGACAGAGTTACAGGGAGAGGTAGAGACAGAGAGAGGTCTTCCATCCGCTGGCTCACTCTCCAGATGGCTGCAACGGCCGAAACTGCACCAATCCAAAGCCAGGAGCCAGGAGCTTCTTCCGGGTCTCCCGTGTGGGTGCAGGGGCCCAAGCACTTGGGCCATCCTCCACTGCTATCCCAGGCGACAGCAGAGAGCTGGATCGGAAGAGGAGCGGCCGGAACTAGACCCGGAACCCACGTGGGATGCTGATGCTTCAGGCCAGGGCTTTAACCCACTGTGCCACAGCGCCGGCCCCAACACTGATAATTTATTAAAAACAGAGACTTACTACTTTTAGTGCTGGAGGCCAAGGAGTTCAGATTGAGGGGCCACATCTGGTAAGGGCCTTCTTCACAGCATGGCAGAAGGCATCACATGGTGAAAGAGATTAAGAGATGGAATCCACAGATCAAGCCCTTTTCTAGGTTGATTTTAATCTACTCATTAGAGTGGGGCCCATGACCTAACACCTCCAATTAGGCCCCACTGCCCAAGACTGCTGCACTGGGAGGACACATGTTTTGCAGAGGAACACATTCATATAGCAACCACCATTAAGAAGAACTGGAAATATGTATAATTAAGCTCTAGATGTACTGCTCTTCTTCATGCTATTGGCACAGTAAAGACCGTCTAGTAAAGACCTTAATTGGTAACCAAAGCTCTCTTTGCTATGAAGGTAGAAACGTCATCTAATTCACCTTTATCCACAAACTATATCTCAGGAGCTGGAAGTCAATACACACTCAAGAAATATTACAGAATGGGGGCCGGCACTATAATGTAGTGGGTAAAAACCACTGCCTGTGATGCTGGCAGCACATATGGGTGCTGGTTTGAGTCTCAACTGCTCCACTTCTGATCCAGCTCCCTGCCAATGGCCTGGGAAAAGCAGTGGACTATGGCCCAAGTACTTAGGTCACTGCCACACACATGGGAGACCCATAAGAAGCTCCTGGCTCCTGGATTTGGCCTGGCTCAGCCCTGGCTATTGTGGACATTGGGAAGTGAACAAGCAGATGGAAGATTTCTCCCTCTCTCTTAGTCTGTCTAACTGCCTTTCAAATAAATAAATAAAAACATTTTTAAAAAGTACAAAATGAACTAATTACAGGGTGAGTGTTATTGATGTCCTTGAAAACTTCAAGGCAAGGTTTGGACTACTGGTACTTTAGGGCAGTGCTAAGCTCTACCACCTCTCTCTCAAATCATAGTTCACTGCATTAGAAGTTAGCAAAGAAATCTCCCATGTGATCTTTGGGATCCCCAGTGACTGGAATGTCATGAAAGATGCACAAGGTCCTGCACTGTGGCGTAGCAGGTTAAGCCTCTGCCTGTGATGCTGGCATCCCGTATGGACACTGGTTCGAGACCCGGCTGCTCCACTTCCAATGCAGCTCCCTGCTAATGCACCTGGAGAAGCAGCAGAAGATGGCCCAAGTGCTTGGGCTCTGCACACATGTGGGAGACCTGGAAGAAGCTCCAGGTTCCTAGCTTCAGCCTGGCCTAGCCCCAGCCCCAGCCCCAGCCCCAGCCATTGTGGCCATTTTGAGGAGTGGCCAGAGGATGGAAGTTCTCTCTTTCTGCTTCTCCTCTCTGTAACTCTTTCAAATAAATAAATAAATAAATAAATAAATAATTTTTTAAAAATGCCCAAGCAGGCCTGTGGACTTCCCGAAGATCATTTTAACTCTTGCTACATAATCAAATTCTTGGATATTCAACATAAGGTACATTTTGATCTCTATGATGGAAACTATAGCAATTCTGGCTCCTGTCCTCCTAGCTCCCTTCCCTATTGTGCTTCTTTTTCAAATCTCAGAGTAATGTCCTTCAGGAGAACAAAGCCTTGATTTTCTCCCAGCAGTAATTTTGGCTTCTCCTTCATGTACTTTTTACATCCAGACATATTAGTGAAGATGTTGAATTTTCTGGCTTCTCTGCTTTAATTTCAGTCTTTAGGAATACAGGAAGAGCCTTGTTCATCACTCGCTCCTGCCCTACAATGTGTAGAGCCCACGGATTACCCCTGGCCCTCCCGTCTCCTCCAGGGAATCCTGCCGTCCTAAAGGTTCTGTATACGGCAAGGAACCAATCTTCTGTGGAACCTGAATAGATTAAAAAGAAGAAAATAATGAAGGGAGTTGGGATAGAACAGACATTCAAAGATTATTTTAGCTATGTAGAGAATAATTTGAGGTCATGACATTGGACCTTCAAATATATTACATATTTATTTTAGGGTTCTCTTCTCCCGTTTTCACATTCTTTAAGTGAGGGGTAAATTTTTACTGGTCATGTGATTCTTCATGTAAAATTCAGCAAGTGTCTATCAGTAAGGAGTAAATTATAAGATACCCATCTTCTGATTCTCCCAGACAGCATCAGTAATTTCTACTACATGCATAATAGTATCCTGCTTTTTTCCCTTACATACAAGTATAAGTATACACTCCCTTTTATGGTTATTCAGTATCTTTCTCTTTCACTAGACTGTAAGCCCCATGAAGGCATGGAATACAGGTAGATATTATGTGCCCAATGCTTAGTACCATGCTCAATATATAGTAGATCTTTAATATATGAATGTATAATACATACAATGGAACATTATACAGCCATTTAAAAATATGATAATATGAAATCATTTATTGACATTTAAATTACTCATTTTAAACTTAAAAATCAAATCATAAAATAGTAGCGATACTTGATCCCACTTTAAAAGGATAGTTATATTTACAGATACATACATCAAAATGTTAGTATTAGTAGGACTATGGATGATATCTTATTTTCTTTGCAGTTCGCCATATTCTCTGAATTTTAACAATAGCAGCATTTATTTGTTATTTTATTATTTAAAAATGATTCTCATTTTGAAAAAAGTCAGGTAGACATTAAAACAACCTTTTCTCTGTCACAAAATTTCACTTGAACTAATTTTGACATCAGTATTCAATCGGATAATGTTAGAACTCAAAATTCTGGATTATACTTATCTTCATGCTATTTCTGATTAAAGTGGACATTCAACATAACAAAATAATCATTATGAAACTTTCATTTCTGTATAAAACTTTTAAATTTATTTTTATGTTCATAATTAACAATTAGATTCTTCTCTTTCCACTTACTCATGAACCACTTAAGTATATGGACAATGGAATTGACTTTAATTTCTTTACTTGAAGATGAAGAAAATTAAAAGTACGTTATAAAATAAAAGTATGTCAGTATCACTACATATAGAATCTTCTTTACATGAAGCAAGCTTGTAAAGGTGAAGTTCCCACAGAAAGCGGAAAGCATAACCACGAAAGCATTACCAAAATTCTAAAAGGATAACCATTTTAAACACATACTTTTAACAACTTTACTGTTTATAAAACTATAATTGGGCACTTTTAAGACCAGGTGACATTTTTTTCTTTTTCAAAGATGCTAATTTTTATAAATAACACATTTATAGATGATAAACTCTACAGAGATCAAGAATATATGCAGGGGAATTTTAAAAGATAAGTATAATTGCACTTTATATAGCAATTAGCATAACTGTAGGGAAATGGAAAATATTTTTACAAATTTTTTCCCAAGTATATATAATTAAAAAATTTCATTAAGAATCATTGAAAGAAAGAAAGGAAGGAAGGAAAGAAGGGAAAAAAAAAGAAAGAAAGAAGAGAGAAAAGAAAAGAAAAAAGAGAAGAAAAAGAGAGGGCAAATATTACATGTACATGGCTACTTGTCTTTTAGTAATATTTTGTTTTCTTACAGTTTCAATCCATTGACATGAAGACCTCAGCACTGTATTAAGAAGTCACATTCTGACCTATAAAATGTGACAGCCCCAGGAGAACCATTAAATCATTATTCATTTTCAGTAAAAAGTCTAACAGAATAGTGTCTTAGAATATTGTGCGTTAGAACTTTAATCATACAATACAAATCATGTATAAACAAGTTGTAACAGAGAACATGTGCTGGCACAACTAGGCTTTACAGATTCTTTGGAAGCTCAAAAGTTCAAGAATGTCTTATCAATCTTCATTTCAAATCTAGTAGCATAAAAGATGGGTTTTCTAAGTAGGATTTCCACAAATTAGAGAAGCGTGACATTGTAGCACCATCAATAATTCTGTGATCAGCTGACCAGCTCACATTCATTATCTGCGCAGGATATACTTCTCCTTTCTGGTTAAATCGAGGAAGGGCCTAGAAATAAGGGGAGAAAACAAAGGGTAAACTTTCAGTTGCTCAAAGCTCAAGCTCTAACAATTTTCTAAGAGCAGACAAACCCTTCTCCATATAATAGAGAGGAAATGGATATCCCAAATGACTTGAAAATACTAACTCCTACTTTTCCCGTCTTTGTAAAGACAAGTCTCCACAACTCTCAAGCTTTTAGTGTCTCCAAGGTACCTACTGTCCCCCGAGGCATATTGGCTGTATTAAATATTATGCAAAAAGACTCATATCCAAGTTAATAGGCTACCTTAAATCCTAGCTCCAAATTCTGATTCAGTTAGTATGGGATAAGCTTGGGCATTTTTTTTTTTTTTTTTTTTTTGACAGGCAGTTAGAGAAAGAGACAGAAAGATCTTCCTTCTGTTGGTTCACCCCTCAAATGGCCGCTACGGCCGGAGCTACGCTGATCCGAAGCCAGGAGCCAGGTGCTTCCTCCTGGTCTCCCATGCGGGTACAGGGCCCAAGCACTTGGGCCATCCTCCACTGACTTCCCAGGTCACAGCAGAGCTGGACTGGAAGAGGAACAACCAGGATAGAATGCAGCGCCCTAACCGGGACTAGAACCGGCGCCCATATGGGATGCTGGCGCTGCAGGTGGAGGATTAGCTTAGTGAGCCGCGGTGCCGGCTGGGCATGATTTTTTTAAGTTCCCAGATGATTCTAATGTGCAACCATGGTTGAGAATCATAGTAACCCTTATTCTAAGTCACTATTCCCTAAAACATGGCCACAGATCACTTTTGAAGGAACCAGCAGACTTGTTTCACATATAAGTTCTGTGGGGCTCTGACTCCAAGGCCAACATATCTCCATTATTTTTTTTTTAACAGGCAGAGTTAGGCAGTGAGAGAGACAGAGAGAAAGGTCTTCCTTCCGTTGGTTCACCCCCACAAATGGCTGCTATGGCTGGCGTGCTGTGGTGAGTGCGCCACGCAGATCTGAAACCAGGAGCCAGGTGCTTCCTCCTGGTCTCCCACGCGGGTGCAGGGCCCAAGCACTTGGACCATCCTCCATTGCACTCCCGGGCCACAGCAGAGAGCTGGACTGGAATAGGAGCAACTGGGACAGAATCCGGTGCCCCAACCGGGACTAGAACCTGGGGTGTCGGCACTGCAGGTGGAGGATTAGCCTAGTGAGCCGCGGCGCAGGCCCTTTTTTTTTTTTTTTTTTTTTTTTTACAGGCAGAGTGGACAGTGAGAGAGAGAGACAGAGAGAAAGGTCTTCCTTTTGCCGTTGGTTCACCCTCCAATGGCCACCATGGCCGGTGCGCTGCAGCCGGCGCACTGTGCTGATCCGATGGCAGGAGCCAGGTGCTTCTCCTGGTCTCCCCTGGGGTGCAGGACCCTAGCACTTGGGCCATCCTCCACTGCACTCCCTGGCCACAGCAGAGAGCTGGCCTGGAAGAGGGGCAACCAGGACAGAATCTGGCACCCCGACCGGGACTAGACCTGGTGTGCTGGTGCCGCTAGGTGGAGGATTAGCCTATTGAGCCGTGGTGCCGGCCCCAATGATTCTTAAGCAGGGTGAAGTTTTGGAAAAATACACTAAATGGTACCTCACCTTATTATAAGTAACAATTTGGAATTGTTTACTATTTTTCTTTGATATTCTAAAATAAAGCTATTTTGATAAGAGGCAGATTGGCCGTATTTGTGATTGCCCAAAGTATATTTGTGCCTAGCATGATCCACAGTGGTTTATGATGGTTTCCACACTGAAATATTACAGATCACCACTCCTTATTATACATAGAGGCAGCCACCAGGACTGCAGGCCTAACTCTTAGGAAGAAATAACAAATTTGCTGAGCCAAAATTTATAAACTCAAACCAACCAAGTAAGGAGGAAACCTTAGAAACAGCTACCAGTTGTTAAAAACTGTTTTTCAATTATTTACCACATATACCTTAATTGATCCAAGGGCCCCAATGGCTACTTCAGGTGGCAATATCACAGGTTTGGCATAGGTACCACCAATCTAAAAAAAAAAAAAACAAGTTTTCAGAGAACAAATGGAAATGACATTTTATATTTTTGACTGAACATATGATCAGAAATTTAAATTATGTTACTCACGGATCCAATATTGGAAAGAGTGAATGTTCCTCCGGTAAGATCTGTGGTGCTGAGCTGACCTGCGGTGCCCAGTTTCTGGAGGCGGTTCAGCTCAGTGGCGATCTCAAATACAGAGCAGATCTGAACGTTTTTGACATTGGGGACAATCAATCCCTGCTCAGTATCCATTGCTATCCCAATATTATGAGAAGCCTAAGAAACAAAAAATTGTATAGTAGGCCTCCTGATACAAACTAATATAACAGGAAAAAAGGATTAGGTTTCACTGTTTTCCAAATAACCATGAAGAAATCATTCTCAACAGGTTGGCAATGATTTCAAATAAACGTTTTAAAAGATGTTTTGAAAAAAAAATTTTGCTGGCAAAATAAAGGGCATACAATGTCATGGGAGTATAAGCCGGTCTAGAACTTCTGGAGAACATCTGACAATACATACCAAGATTTATAAAAATCTGCGCTAAGGAGATAAATGCAGAATGGTAGGTATGTAGCAATAATAAGGGATATTGAATATAGATCGATTATATGTTTGAGAAACTGCGAACAATCAAAATGTTTATCAATGTATCACTGACTAAAGAAAAAGTTATCCTTATTGACCTATAATGCTGTCGATAATAAATGAAATGAATAAGAAAAAGGAAAAATATGAATAATTCCATATTTTTATAATAAGTACATACAATGAAATTCTGGAAGGATATGCATCTCAACATAAACAGGGAGTTATCTTATGGTCATGAGATTGAAGGTATACACCATTATTTTCTTGTCTGATTTATAACAAGTATATACTTAGTTGGGAAATATTAAAATAAAAATGAGGAGATGCATTTGGCCTAAAAGGTACCAGTTGGGAATCCCACATCCTATATGGAACTACCTGGGTTCAAGTTTCAGCTTCATTCCTAATTCCAGCTTTCTGCTGATGTGTTTACTGGGAGGCAGCTGGTGAAGGCCTGCCATCTTCCCTACCACCCACATGGGAGACCCGGATGGAGTTCCTGGCTGAGGACTTCAGCCTGGCCCATCCCCAGCCATTATGAGCATTTGGAGCATGAACCCAATAGATGGGAGCTCTCGCTCTCTCTCTCTGGGAGCTCTCTCTCTCAAATAGTTAAAATGTAAAAACACAAATCTGTTAATTAAATGGGGATATTTTAGATCCAACTCCTAAGAACATCAAAGATCAATTCCTGGTTAGTTGTTTCTAATTAGAAACAGACATAAGGATCAGCACCTCAAAAAGAGTTCTCAAACTTTAGCTTTCACTCCAACAGAAGAGTTCATTCACATAGGATTCAAACTTGTGTTACTTTTCTTATTTAAATTTTTCTTAAAATTCTAGAAATTCAATTTGAGAGAGTAAGTAGAATAGGTAACATAATCCACAGCCTTCTATAAATTCCCATTATTTTATGCAAAAAAACCAAAAATGGCTTAAAAAATGCAATCTGTATATCTAAACAGTATCAGTACTAACCAGTAAAACCAAGAACAATCATAACAAATGGTAAATAGGCTTAATGTCTTATCTCATACTGTAATTCTAGTCTAAAAAACGATCACTATTTGAGGTACAATAATATTAATCTACAAGCACATTTGCACTATCTTATGTTGATATCAAGAACATTTTCACAATGCACAGCCAACCTTATATGTTATATTCTGGCAGCCTTCATCCACAGAAGCATTAAGGATAGGAAACTGTAGCAATCCCAAGGAAGCTGCCTGTTTAACAAAAACAGAATACAACTTTAGCACTTTCAGTTTAGAAGGGATGGTGATTTGAAGCAAGAAGACATATGAAAGAGGGAAGGAGAGAATTCTTACTTATGCCAAGTTTAATTTCAAATCTACATGTACCTAGGCATATTCCTTCCAATGTTACCTTCAAGCAAGATAGAACCAGGTTACCCTAATCATTTAAGAATAAGATATAAAGCTGCCAGGTTACTTGTAAACATGAAGAAGACTTTCAAAATAACTTCACAAACATCATGATGAAAGATCCAAAGAGAATGTTTAAATTCAATGTAATTTCCTCACATATGTCATCTTAAGAAGCAAATAGTAGTTCAAAAATACACTAGGAATTAAAACACAAAGGCATTTAAGCTCTTTACCTGTGCAGAAAGAACACACAATAAGGATTTCAAAGCACCCTGGGTTGTTAGAGGCCAATGTTAGCCTGGTGTCCTTGGCCAAGTGAAGGACGAAGCTGACATGAATGTTCACTTTGGAGTCAAAGTCTCACTGAATCACATTTACATCTCCCCTCTCTGTTGCTTTCTCCCTTAATCTCTCCCCTTCTGTTTTCTCTTTATACCATTATCTCCTATCCATAATCAGATTTCCCTAACTGTACCCAGAATGTTTCTTCTAGCTGTTTCTCTGGCATGCAGAATCTATCAAGGTTCACACATTGCATTTGGCAGTCATGCTTTTAAAATTTAAAATGTAGCAAAACAAAAATACTTAAGATGATTCTTTTTTTTAATTTAATGAATGCATTTTTTCATAGATACAACTTTAGGAATACACTGGTTCTTTCCTCCATACCCACCCCCCCAACTCCCATCCCACCTCCCTCTCCCATATCCTTCTTCATTATGGTTTACTTTGTTTTGTTTTTAGAAAACTTTTATTTAATATAAAATTTCCAAAGTAGAACTTTTGGATTATAGCGGTTTTTCCCCCAATAACCACCCTCTCACCTGCAAACCATCCATCTCCTACTCCCTCTCCCATTCCATTTACATCAAGATTCGTTTTTAATTATCTTTATATACAGAAAATCAATTTAGTATATACTAAGTAAAGATTTCAGCAGATTGCACCCACACAGACACACAAAGTGTAAAGTACTATTTGAGTATTAGTTATAGCATTAATTCACATTGTACAACACATTAAGGACAGAGATCCTACATGGGGATTAAGTGCACAGTGACTCCTGTTGTTAACAATTGACACTGTTATTTATGACATCAGTAATCACCCGAGGCTCTTGTCATGAGCTGCCAAAGCTATGGAAGCCTCTTGAGTTACAGTTCATTTTCAGTTTGACTTTAAATACAGAGGACCAACTCCATGCTAAGCACAGACCTCAACAACTTGCACCCACGCACACACACAACATATAGAGTACAAATGTTCAATTTAGTTCCAAAATTTGCAGTTGATTCTTATAGTACAACTCATTAGGGACGGAGGTCCTATATGGGGAGTAGGTGCACAGCAACTGTTGTTCCTTTAACAATTAACACTGTTGTCTGTGATGTCAGTGATCATTCGAGCTGTTGTTATGGGCTGCCAAGGCTATGGAAGCCTTCTGTGACCATAGACTCCATCGGTATTTGGACACGGGCATAAGTAAAGTGGATGTCTTCTCCTCCTTCAGAGAAAAGTACATCCTTCTTTGATAACCCTTTCTTTCCACTGAGGTCTCACAGGGATCATCCGTGTAGGATATTTTTTGCCCCAGAGTTAAGAAGATTTTTTTTTTTTGACAGGCAGAGTTAAACAGTAAGAGAGAGAGACAGAGAGAAAGGTCTTCCTTTTTCCGTTGGTTCACCCCCAAAGTGGCCGCTATGGCTGGTGCGTTGTGGCCGGCGCACTGCGCCGATCCAAAGCCAGGAGCCAGGTGCTTCCTCCTGGTCTCCCATGCGGGTGCAGGGACCAAGGACCTGGGCCATCCTCCACTGCACTCCCGGGCCACAGCAGAGAGCTAGACTGGAAGAGGAACAACCGGGACAGAATCGGCGCCCCAACCGGGACTAGAACCCAGGGTGCCGGTGTCGCAGGTAGAGGATTAGCCTAGTGAGCCACAGTGCCGGCCAGGATGATTCTTTAAAATAATTCCCTCCTTACTGCCCTTGCTTGTCCCATTAAGAGTACTTTATATGCACTGTGTTCAGTGTTATTTTTGTCTATGGATTGGTGGTCATGACAGGAAAACACACACACATACACACACATAAACCAAATCCTAGAACTAGAGAGTTAAAGGAAGAGTGTCAAATATAGACAGACCTTTGTTTACTTAGGTTGGATTAAGAATGTAAATCAATGGAAGAAAATTATAAAAAAAATTTGCTGCAAATCCCTTAGTTTCTATGACTTCAAAGTTTTACCAAGATTTGATTTGATAACTATAATGTTCATCTTCTTTGGCTAGACATCCATAACTAAGTTTAATCTATAAACACATAAAAACAGAGTTTTGAAGAAAATCCAAATTTTGTAAAAGAAAATATGATAGAGTGCTATTAATTAGGTCATTTTCCTCCTGTACAATACTCTGTAGTATTTTACAAATGTTCTGAAACATATATAAATGTCATTTCAAAACAAAGTATACTACATTTTATTTTCAAAATGAAGATCAGATATTTCAATAAATATCTGACAATAAAGAAAAACAGTATTAAAAGAAATTCAATATATTAATGGTACATCCATGCATCAAAATAGACTTGCTGTCACCAGGAGCCAGTAAGAGGAAGCCAGTCAGAAGCAAAGGGGATGGGCTGCTGTGGCGCAGCGGGTTAACGCCCTGGCCTGAAGTGCTGGTATCCCATATGGGTGCTGGTTCGAGACCCAGCTGCTTCATTTCCGATCCAGCTCTCTGCTGTGGCCTGGGAAAGCAGTGGAGGATGGCCCAAGTCCTTGGGCCCCTGCACCTGCATGGGAGACCCAGAGGAAGCTCCTGGCTCCTGGCTTCAGATTGGCACAGCTCCAGCAGGTGCAGCCAATTGGGGAGTGAAGTAGTGGATGGAAGACCTCTCTCTCTCTCTGCCTTTCCTCTCTCTCTGTGTAACTCTGACTTTCAAGTAAATAAATAAATCTTTAAAAAAGAAAAAAAAAAGGGCTGGAGCTGTCTTGCTCTTCAAGGTTACCTTTTCTGGGGTCTCCATCTCATTCTCTTCCTAATGCCAGGGGCCTCACTCCAACAATACTTCCCACTCTTTTTTTTTTTTTTTTTTTTTAACTTCTTTTGCTGGGGTGGGAGGTGGAGGGGGACACACTTGGCACAGTGGTTAAACTTCCACTTGGGATGCCCACATCCCGTACTTAGGTGCTTGGGTTGAGTCCTGGTTAATCCATTTCCAATCCAGCTTCTTATTAATGAACAACCTGGGAGACAGCAGGTGATGGCTCAAGTATTTGAGTCCCTGCCATCCACATAGGAGACTTGATTGACTTCAGGGTCTCCCATGTGGAGTGGCCCAGCTCCCACTGTTGCAGGCATTTGGGGGAATATACAAGTAGATGGGCGATCTCCTTCTCCCTCTGCCTTTTCCTGGGATTTTCTCTTCCTCAATTCATATTCATTTCCTAACAGACTGCAATCAAGCAACTACTAAAACAATATCTTATTCAATCAGTTTTGGTTGAGGCCACCCATGACCTGGTAATTACTAAGATCCTGTCCCTATCCTTCATCCTATTCAACCTTTGTGATGATTGTGATCGTTATCTACTTCCCTCCAAAATCTTGTTTCTTCTCTGTGGGTGTGAGATCCTAAATCAATAATGGCAAACTCTCATGCTTCCCTGTTTCCTTGCACTTTGGCAGTGTTCTCAGGCTAGTTTTAAGCCTAGCCATGTGACCTGCTTTGGTCAACAAAACAAGATGCAACTTGGGCATTTCTGCTTCTTTTTCCATCCCCGCCAGTACTATGAGACCATGTATAGGTAAGCATGTTGGGAAATGACAGAGACATATGGGAGAGATATGAGTCACTTCTGTTGAAGTCATTCTACACTAGCTTGCCAAAATCTATTATCTGACCTCAAGCATTTAAGACCTCTGCCAAGATCAACAGACTTGTGCTGTTCACCTGAGGAGCCATGAGAGATAATAAATGGCTACTGTTTAAAACCATTACATTTTAGGGTAGTTTAGAATATAGAAATAGATGCAGTTGGATTCTAAATGACTCCTTTCTAATTCTCCTATTATTACACCACTGCCGCCACTTACCCTCTTCAATATCTCTGCCAACTCAACCTCTACCTGCCCCGTTCAACCCCTAGCCTTCTTCTCATTCATGCGCAATCTGGGTGATGTCATCTACTGGCTTCAACAGCCTTGCCTCTGCAGAGACTCTCCCTGGATATAACAGAATCTAGATCACTCTTCTTTCATTTACAGACATCTATGACATCTTACATTTATGTAAGACTCACTTGTTAGCTCATTGCCAAGAAAATGGAGGTAAAGGAGAATGGTTTCGGCCACATGAGGCCCAGTGTCCACTGCATAGACAGCTGTGTAAACACTTGAAATACACTGAGATAAAGCACTTGAACACAAAAGAGCATTTAACTCCACAGTGCCAGCCACAGAGACTTCTGGAGAAGTCTGTGCCAAAACACAATCTGGTGTGTAAGATGTGTAGGTATTTGATCAAGAGATGAGGGGACAGTTATGGTGGAATTGTGCATTTTAGCAACCAGGCATAGCTAACATGACTAAAATAGAGAGTGTAACCCTGAGAGACAGGAGACTGGAAAAGTAGGCAGCAGAGAATGATAGTATATGTTTGCCACACTAAGGTACCTGGAAACTATCCTAAAGGCAAAGAAGGGGATCTTTGAAAAGAGTTAGGGAATAATAGAATAATTTGATTTATGAAAGACCAGTGTTAGTGCAGCTTAGAGCAAAAGCTGGGGTTTGGGGAATACACTGAAGTATGTACTTTTGAGTAAAACAGACCAGAGCCTTACACTGACTCTTTTGTTTTGTGTCCTTGACAAGTTTCCTAACTTCTCTGAGCCCCAATTTCCTTAAATGGAAAGTGGGAAAAATAGTATTTATATTTTAGGATTAATTTAAGAATTAAGAGATAATGTACACAGCATGCTCAGTGTGGGGCTTGGTGCCTATTAGCTGCTTCATAAAAGGTTGTTAATGTGAGCTAGTCTTAAAGCTGCTCAAGGTCAGCTGATGGTCTTATTCTCTTTTATGTTGGTCCCAAGGCCTAACGCTAGACATGATTCCTAGGAGTCTCAATACAAACATATGGAATAAATGAAAATGAATACATATACAAAATCAAAACCAAGTCTTGCTTTAGTTTAAACCAGGAATTTGCTGGAATGGACCTTTCATAATTAAAGGCTTTAATTAAATGGTAGGACAATCTCTACCTAGCTACAATGGAGAATTAGATAAAAATATGACACATAAATTTCAATATTAAAAATTCCCATGAAATTAAAAAAGCACATTTTCTAACTTTATAATGTGGTTCAAGCCCAGAGTTAACACACTGCATATCTGCAAAGCAAAACTTGTATGTCCTACTCAAGACTTGTTGAAACAAATGACTCTCACCTTTAAGAAGAAGGGCATAAAGGAAAGCTTAATTCCACGAGCCAAAGCAATGGGTTTCAATTCTTCTCGTAGCTTAACCAGTTCAGTAAGGTCAACCTCATCACAATAACCAAAGTGAGGTATCTTTAGAGCTGCAGACATAGTCTTGACCATTGCTTTTTGAAAGCCTGGAAAATATTCCATTGTTATTAATTTTAATTTTTAAATTCATTAATCTTTTTTATTATAAAAAATTCTTCACACTCTCAAACTCTTCCTTTTACTACCATCTTTATTATATTACATTGAAAATCACTATTTTCAAAGCTGAAGCATGACATCCAGTTTCAAGTGTCATAATATTTCATGTGACTGCATTAAATGTACATAAAAATTTCAAAAGGATGCAAGCTATGGATTTACCAAACAACTTTCCTGCAAAACTAACTGTATGGGAATTAATCATCCTAGGAGTTTATATATAACAAATCAGAACTAACAATTTTGAAAGTTAATTAAAAATAATGCATGTTTAAAATACTGAGTGTTCAAACAAAACAATTATCAGGATACAAGTTGATATGCCATGAAACTTGGTAACTCTTCAGAAATTAGCAGTATATATAAATAGGAGTGTTTCCTGGATGAGCTATGTTATTTCACCATTAAAAAATTATTTGTTAAATGTGAACATTCCTTTCAGAAAGAACTGAAAATACCATACTCTAGGGGCCAGCGCTTTAGCACAGCAGTGCAAGGGTTAAAGCCCTGGCCTAAAGTGCTGGCATCCCATATGGGCGCCGGTTCTAGTCCTGGCTGGTCCTCTTCCAATCCAGCTCTCTGCTATGGCCTGGGAAAGCAGTAGAAGATGGCCCAAGTGCTTGGGCCCCTGCACCCACGTGAGAGATCGGAAGAAGCTCCTGGCTCCTGCCTTCAGATCAGCGCAGCTCCGGCCATTGCAGCAAATTGGGGAGTGAAACATCGGATGGAAGACCTCTCTCTCTATCTCTACCTCTCTCTGTAACTCTGTCTTTTAAATAAAGAAAATAAATCTTTATAATAAAAAAAGAAAGAAAATACCATACTATATATATTACCTGTTAAAGTACCTTCTGCCAAAATACTTGTGAATGTACTACTGTTTTACATTACTGTTATTATTATTATTACCTTTTATGGGTTCTGTTTTGTCTTTGCCTATGAATACTGGAGGTTTTGATATTGGCATGGGAATAGTCTTGTCCTTTGGTTTTGGTGGAGGTGGCATAACTTCAGCTTTTGGTGAAGGAGGCAATATAGCTCCTGTTTGCTTTTCCAAGTAGTTGAGAATATCTTCTTTAAGTATTCTGCCATCTTTTCCTGAGCCAACAACTTCACTTAGCTTAATCTAAAAAAAGACACATTTCAATACTAACAATACAACCACTTAAAAATAAATAAATCTATCATTAAAGTTCCAAAATGGGATTTAGTTCACTGAAGGTAAAAATACATCTCTGTGCAAGGAAATAACATTTTCATGATCTTAACAGAGAAGTTATGTCTACCCTCAGTAGGGAATCAGTGGTTACTTTTGCATATACTGTTCATTTGTCCATAACTATGAGGAATCTACATTGTGGAATTCATCATTACTTATGAAAACCTCTTTTTGAACAAGCAGACATTTTAGAATCTCTAGTATAATTCTTGCTTGATCTTTCTTATTCTTGGAGATCACAGAAAAAGAAAACTGAGAATTTAAAGTAAAAAATGCTTTAGCAAGTTTAGACCAATGTTTCTGGCGTTGACTACCAGTTAAACATGCTAGTAGCTTAAATAATTATACAAAAGCTCTCTCAAATTAGATTTTTCTTATGGTTGCTTTGAAAAGATCAGAACAAAACATTTAATTCTATTTAAATAAAACACCTAAGCTTGGATGATATCTTCATACACAGTGCATTTTTAGTTCATTTCTTAGGTTAAGCCCCATTTTGTTTTAGTGCATCTCTAAGGAAGACTTTAAAAAAATATAGAACTTTTTCATGTCAAACACTAAATTTATAAAAAAGGAACTCAGAATTTAAACAAATGATCTTTAAATAATTATAAAATGCAAATGTCATTGGTTTCTAATTTTAAACAATTCACAAATGTGCAAACTGTAAGAAACTTTTAAAAAGGTGCTTCATAACAATAAAAACACTATTTAATTTCTAGCATTTATACAAGTATTTTGGAGATTATACACATCTTTAGCAAGTGGGATGGGAAAGCCAAATCATGTATATCTTCTACAGGTGGTCTTTCCATATAATTAAGAAGAAAACTGGTAAATTGTTTTATAGCTTTCAAATCAATATATAAAATCATTTCATCTGGTGCCCTTAAGAACCTAGTGCTCCTCCACATTATTATTTCTATTTTCTATTACATTTAATGGCCTTCATATTTGAACACATTTAATGATTGTATACAATTTCCTAACTGACTTTAGCTTTTCCCTAGTACTGAACATGTACATATATTCTAATTTTGGCTCTGGGAAAAAAAAGGAAGACTGTATCCTAGATTATTTTCTTGGCATAGTTCCCCAATGGCAGGATAACTGGCAGAAAGGGTGTGAATATTTTAACGATTCTATTACATATTTCCAACATGCTTACTTTTGGTTTTTCCCACTGTAACTTAACCAGTTCTCTCCCAAACAGACAAGGAAACGGTCTGTACTGTGGGATACAGTGCAAAGAACTCAGATATAGTTGTGTTCTTAGTCCCAGTTCAGCTACTTATTTGATTTTAAACATGTTAATCAGCTCCCTGCTCTTTCTCATCAGCAAAATGGGGACAACCTCAAGTACCCTGGAGCACTGTTACGCGGATCACAGGTAAAGTGTTTACAGCACCTGCTCAGAGACAATGGCTGCTGAGGAAGAATTTAAAGACTAAGAGCATTGGTTTCCGAGTGATACAGAATCACTGCTTAAATTCTGACTCCAATGCTGTGTTATTTGTGTGGCCTTAGGCTCCATGTCTTATAGTGGCTCCTTAACTTACAGAATAAAATGAAGGAATTTGTTAATAATTACCACAGTGCCAGGGAGCCAGCTCGCCTGGCATTCTACCCTGCAGTCAATGACTGGCAGAGACAATACCAAAGGCCATCTTCCTTAACTCAAACCAGTTCTGTGGTTCTCCCCATCTCCTATGGGTCAGCCAGAATCTCTGAGTATCAGATCCATGCCTGGTCCATTTTCCCTCTCTTTTCCAATCCTGCTTCCCTTTTTCTCTTTTTTTCACTTTTTTTTTTGACAGGCAGAGTGACAGTGAGAGAGACAGAGAGAAAGGTCTTCCTTTGCTGTTGGTTCACCCCCCAGTGGCCACTGCAGCCGGCGCACTGCGGCCGGCGCACCGCGCTGATCCAAAGCCAGGAGCCAGGTGCTTCCTCCTGGTTTCCCATGAGGGTTCAGGGCCCAAGGAATTGGGCCATCCTCCACTGCACTCCTGGGCCACAGCAGAGAGCTGGACTGGAAGAGGAGCACCGGGACAGAATCCGGTGCCCCAACCGGGACTAGAACCCGATGTGCCGGCGCCACAGGCGGAGGATTAGCCTATTGAGCCGCGGCGCCGGCCTCCCTTATTCTCTTTACAGGTTTTCAGTCCAATAAATCAATCACATGCATTCAAATTGCTGTCTCAAGCTGTGTGCTTCTAGGGTATTTTACCCCATCGATTGGTATTTACAGGTGCTCCATAAATGATGGTTCTTAACAATAAAACCTCACTATTCAAATGTTAAGTTCATAACTTCTTCTCATTTCTCCCAAGTAATTTCGTGCAACTAATCACTTTTCATTTACAGTCATTTTCCTGTTTCTTTAATCTCAACTTGAGTCATTTCATCATTTTTCCAGAGACTTAACTGTAGGTTTTCTACGTAATCTCAGACTTAACATTAAGAAAACTTACGTTGTTTTCCATTGCAAGACGGCGAACTGCAGGAGTAGCCAGTGTTTTTTGACCCTTTATTTCTTGGTGTGTGTGTTCATCATGAGACACAGCTGGAGTTTCAACAACATCTTCTTCTGAATCTGACAAAATGGTGAAATTTGATTTGTCAAAAATATTTTTAAAAATAAACAAAAAGCTTAGTGTCCTGTAATACCTAAATAACTTAAACTTAGTTTTTTTTGTTTATAGCCAAAATGATTAATAGTAGACTACTTTAGAAGGGAAAAATATACAACTATCCAAAAGGTAGAGACGGGGGTAGAGGTGTGGGCTAGTACATGACACTGTTGTAGTGTTAGTACCCAGCATATACTTTACTTCTGTCATGAAGCTACAAGTCAAATGATGAGGTTTTTTTGGTCATAATTCTTAAAACATGTATTTTGAGCATTTTTCTAATAAAATACTTATATTTACAAATAGCATGAACTAAGACTCAAATGTGAATTAAGTCATATAAAAAAAAATATAAAATCTCTATGACAGTCCAAACACTTCCCAAACTTGCTAAACCATTTGCTCTGCTTTGAATAAGACTTAAGGAATGCTATGGCTAACACTAATTTGTTTGTTTTATATTCTAACAGCAGAGTTCTAGTACAAGAAAAATTACCTCAGGCTACTAGTATCTATTAGTTTTTCAACACAGTCATATTATCACTGAGAAATATGTGTAGTTGCAATTTTTCTTTTATTTATTTATTTGAAAGGGAGGGAGGGAGAGAGAGAGAGAGATCGATTTCCCCCATCCACAGATTCACTCCCCCAAATACCTGCACCAGCCTGAACTGGGCCAGGAGCCAGCAACCCAATCTAGGTCTCACACATGGGTGACTGGAACCCAAGGACTTGTGCCATCACCTGCTGTCCCCTACAATGTGCATTTGTAGAAATCTGGACTCAGGAGCAACTCCAGGACTCAAACTCAAACACTCCATTATGGGATGTGGGCATCCCCAAATGGCATATGTACTGTGAATCAAATACCCATCTCCTATCATATATTTAAAACATTTTTTTTTGAGTACTTAAATGTAAACTTTGCTGTTAGGAGACCAATGACAAATAAGTGAATCTCTTTCTGAATTGGTAAATTAAAGACCTGCTTCTGAAAAGCAGCAGACAACTAGGTTTGCTTTGTCATTCAAGTTTAAGACAATAAACATCTTCTACCGCTGTAACTACTGAGAGACACTTACTCATTCTTCCTATACTAATCCATGAATTAGTCCAGTAAAGCTCTTAAAAATTTCTCTAAAAGTGAGAAAAAGGAAAAAACTGTATTGTGTGCCTATCATGTGTCAAAGATTGTGCTATACAGGCAATCTCAATTTACTCTTCACATCAACTGCATGTTATTATCCCCATTTTATAAACTTTTTAAAAATGAGGCTCAAGAGATAGATTGGCCCAGGAAAACACACCTAAAAAGTCTGAGTTGAAATTCACTTCTAGGACTCTGCTGTTCCCATTAATTCATGCATGATAGTAGAAAATTTTCTTTCTGGCCATAATAGCTGGAATACAACTCCTAGGGTTCAAGTCTATTAACTTTCAGAATCTCTGTAGATTCTATATGTCTTTCAAAATTATTGGGGAGATCAGCAAGAAAAGTTAGCAATAGGAATGAAAACTCAAAAGAAAATCAGTGTATTCAATTGTAGGATCCAAAATACTAATTTGGATAATATTCACTACAAAAAATGTAGAATACCCAAATATATTATATTCCAAAATTTATATATTCCCAAAGATCATGTAATGCATTGCTGTCCACCTCTCTGAAAAACATTTTGTTATGTATTACCTATGCAGTACTACTCTTGAGAATAGGACATAAATGAGTGATAAAACAAATTTACTTGTGAGGAGTCATTCATGTATGATGGTACTTCAAAAAGTTCATGGAAAATGAAGTTAAAGTTTATTTTTGTGCAAAAACTTGAAATTCATGCATATGAGGAGTCTCCAAAAAGTGGTTAGTGCATAGTATGAAAAAAGTGTGCTTGGATTTCAAAAGTATTCTTTGCATCAAAATAAGCTTATCTTTTAACTGCATTTTCCATGAACTTTTTGAAGTACACTCATTATTTGTAAGTCATGTACGTTGATGGAAGAAAGCTCTCCTGAGTAATAAAAAATAAATAATAAGCTTACTACATAGCACTTTATTTTCAAAATATTTTTTGTATATATTTTCTCCTTTAATGATCACAAAAATATTGTGAATGCAGGGCAGATTTTTCACAACTCTCCCCAGTTGATGTGATTTCAGTGGTTCTTGCACTACACTCTAAATCAGTATATGAGATTTGATCTTTGACAATTGGTTTTCAGTTAACGAATCAGAATACAGTTCTAAAAACTTTGTTTTTAAGAAAGAACAAAAAGGGCTGGGGCCGCGGCTCACTAGGCTAATCCTCTGCCTTGCGGCGCCGGCACACCGGGTTCTAGTCCCGGTCAGGGCGCTGGATTCTGTCCCGACTGCCCCTCTTCCAGGCCAGCTCTCTGCTGTGGCCCAGGAGTGCAGTGGAGGATGGCCCAAGTCCTTGGGCCCTGCACCCGCATGGGAGACCAGAAGTACCTGGCTCCTGGCTTTGGATCAGCGCGATGCGCCGGCTGCAGCAGCCATTGGAGGGTGAACCAATGGAAAAGGAAGACCTTTCTCTCTGTCTCTCACTGTCCACTCTGCCTGTCAAAAAACAAACAAAACAAAACAAAACCAAAAAACAACAAAACAAAACCTCTAGGAAGTAAGCGCTTTCAAAGCACTTTTTCTCTTGAAGCCAATCAATTTAGCATTGCCATAAATTCCTTATGTGAAGTCAATGTGCAAAAAACCACATTAGATTAGGCAACTAAATAAAGGATTGATTTGAATTAGAGAAAAGTCAATTATGAAATCCCAATTTTCTTTTCTTTTTTTTTTTTTTTTTGGACAGCAGAGTTAGAGAGAGACAGAGAGAAAGGTCTTCCTTCCGTTGGTTCACCCTCCACATGGCCGCTATAGCCGGCATGTTGTGCCGATCCGAAGCCAGGAGCCAGGTGCTTCCTCCTGGTCTTCCATGCGGGTGCAGGGCCCAAGGACCTGGGCCATCCTCCACTGTACTCCCGGGCTGCAGCAGAGAGCTGGACTGGAAGAGGAGCAACCGGAACAGAATCCGGTGCCCCAACCGGGACTAGAACCCAGGGTGCTGGTACCACAGGTAGAGGATTAGTCTAGTGAGCCACGGTGCCAGCCAAAATCCTAATTTTCTAACTATTTCTAAAAACTATATTAAGTAGCCCAATTAATTCACTTAACTTGAATAAATTCTTTTGGGGAATGTGTTTTAAAATATTAACATATTCTGATGTGTTTGGAAGTCCTTTCTTCATAACATAGATTTGAGTATAAACTCTAGTTCTTAGCTGATCATAAATTGAGAATTGATGGCACCCAAACTAATGAGATGTCATTGTATTTTTTCGCCTCATCATGGAAACAACTAATCCAATCAATCCAATTTACAACTAGCTGTACAGAATTTTAAGCAGCTACAATTCCCAGGCATTGAACCATGCAACTTATGTTATTTAAAGTAATTTAATTAAATGACATGCTACATGCTTGGAACTGTTTTCTGATAAAGAGCTTTTCTTTAGCTCTAAAATGCTCTGTATTAATCCTGGTAAACAGCACTATAAACTCAGTGTTTATAAACTCTAAATTGTGTTGTTACAGCAGAATTTTGTTTATGTGCAGTTCTAGAAATTTAGTCCCATTGTTCTAGATGCAGATTGGAACTGATACCTACTCTCTCTGGACTGAATTTTCAACATAATGAAGTGGTTAGGAGCATAGGCCTTATAATTAGGCAGAGCTAGGTCAAATTGTTGCTGCACCACTTAATAGCCATGTGACCATAGCAAGTTATTTAACTTCTCAGATTCTCAATGATGCATGCATCAAATAATCTATAAAATTAAATGAGATAGTGCATATAATATTAGTCATCAACAATAGAAGTTGATGTTAAGGGGTAAATGCAATTTAACAGCAGAATATTAGTTTTATCAAGTATCCTGTTAAAGCTTATGTCCCTCCCTTTCTTTTCTTAGTATTTCCCCATGGTGGTAATGCCTCTCAATTAGATGTGATAACTTTCCTGTATATCTATTGCTAGGACATCCTGGCAACTTGCACACAGCTTCAGGTCCAGAGCACCTAAAACCTTTGCTACACAGTCTCAGAATTAAAATCATGCACTTGCTTCACAGGAAAGGGATTTAGATTCTCAACCAGATACTATTTTCTCTTCTTTTTACAAGGATGCCTCAAAAAGTTCATGGAAAAGTGCATTACAAAAAAAAAAAACAAAAAAAAAACAAAAAACAAAAAACTATGCATGGATTAAAAAAAAAAAACTTTGTACTAAAATAAACTTATTTTCTAATGTCATTTTTCTGTGAACTTTTTGAAGCCCCTGTGTATATTCTTCCCTCAGGATCTATGGGTGATTCATTTCTAGACCTGTCTCAGATCTCAAAATCTAAGATAAAGTCCTGTAGATAAAATGATCCAGTATTTGCATATAGACTATGTATGTCCTCCCAGGATACTTTAAAGTATCTCTAGATTACTTATAATACCTAGTACAAAAAGAGGAAATCCAAAGGGCCAACAGACACATGAAAAAATGCTCAGGATCACTACACATCAAGGAAACGTAAATCAAAACCACAATGAGGCTTTACCTCACCACCATTAGAATGGCTTTCATACAGAAATCAACAAACAACAAATGCTGGCAAGGACATGGGGAAAAAGGTACACTAATCCACTGTTGGTGGGTAAGTAAACTGGTACAGCCACTATGGAAGACAGTATGGAGATACCTCAGAAATCTGAATATAGACCTACCATATGACCCAGTCATCCCACTCCTGGGAATTTACCCAAAGGAAATGAGATCAGCATATGAAAGAGTTATCTGTACCCCCATGTTTATTGCAGCTCAATTCACAATAGCTAAGAAATGCGATCAACCCAGATGTTCATCAACTGAAGACTGGATAAAGAAATTACAGTGTATGTATA